TTTTATTGTTAAATAATAAACACATTAACAAAACTTTTTAATGAAAAGATTAATTTAAAACTAAATTTAAAATTTTTAAAAATTAAATTAGAGATTTTTTAAATTTAAAAGTCAATTAAAAAATCTATACAATAATAACGATCAAATTAAAGGTTTAAACGTTATTTTAAAGCCCATTAGCCAAATCCTCTTAATCACTTTAGTCTATAATTTATATATATATTTGAAAACTTTGGTCTATAATTTTTCATCGTCGTTTAAGCGGAACCACAAAATTTCCATCTTACTTGTTTTTATTTTTTATAGGAAACAAGTTAATCAGTTAAAATTTCAATAAAAAAATAAAAAAATAAAGATTTAAAACTCTAATTATCCTCATAAAAAATATTTTTATATTAATAATTTAATCAAGTATTCTAAAGATATTCATCTATCTTCAAAAATAAAAAATAAAAAAAGATATTCTTCTAACATGTTTTTATTATACTTTATATATGGTGAGAGATACGTATGGAAGTTAATTACCTTTCTACTAAATAATAGTATTAAATTCGATTTCGTTTGATCCTATGTGGAGTTTGATGCATGCAGACGTGAGGATTGAGTTTGGTTAATTAATCTGTTTATTGGTTTTTTCTTGTTTGTCTCAAAATAATAAAATTTTTATATTTTATTAGTATGTTTATATTAAAGATCTAAAAATAATTTATATTTTTATTTATTTTAATTTAAAATAAAAAATTTATGATAAGATAAATAATTAAAATTAAAAAATAATAATAAAATTAAAAAAAATTATTCTTTTAAAAAATAAAAAAAGACTATTACTAGAATAAATTTTAAATCAAAGAATATCTACTAGTATTATTTTCGAATGGAGTGTGTGATATAAATATGATTTGTTTATTGTTAAACTTAATTGATTTCTTAATTATTTAATCTAGTTTGGACTTTGTAGTTAGTTTCACTATAGTCATCTTTATTTCATTTTCAATCGGCTAGGTGGCCAGGGTTTTGCAGAAACGAAAAATGATGAGAAAGCAAAGGCAGCGAGATGAATAGGGGGAATCATGCCTAATTAATCTTAATATAAAAATAAAAATACTATTATCATATTTGTTTTGGTTTTTTAAGATTTTTTTTTGTTTAATTTGATAAAAAAATGATTTAATCTAATTTTCAACATTTTGTGCAAAGGTAATAAACCTTTTAAAAATATTTTGATGAACTTATCATAACTTTATATTTTTATTTATGTGAGATCTAATTCTAAATATGGAGTTTCACTAAATTAAGAATGAAACTTTTACCATCTTATTATAGAAGAAATTTTCCAAAACTATATGTAGGCAAATGTAAATATCTTGGTGGAAAAAAGTTTTAATATAAATTAAATATCTTTAATGAATATTTTTTAATTTAGTTTCTTTTATCATTTTTGTATTGTATTAGTAGTTTTTAATTTTTATTATTAAAAAATAAATAAAATTTTAATTAAAATTAATTAAAATAAATTAGAAATTAATTAAAATTTTATATTTTTAAATAAGAAGTACTAACAAACAAATCAAAATTTACTATTATGTATTATGTATTGATTACATTTACGTCCTTTTATTATTATTTTTATTATTTTAATTACTAAAATTCTCTAATTTTTTAAAAGGTAAAAATATCAATTAAAACTCTTGACATATTACGTCTAAAATTATTCAAATATCTTTAATAAATATTTATTATGCATTGTTTTATTTAAAATATTTAAATTTTTTATTATATATTATTCTTGATATTTTAATTATTTGAAAGTACTAATTTTTCAAAATCCAAACATGTGATCCATCCTTATATTAAAAACTTCATAGTCTTTAAAGGAACTTCCTAGTAACTAAGCGATTTATTCATTATATTAAAAATATAAAATTTATATTTTAAAATTGATGAAAGAGATTTGAAAAGAACATAATTGTTTTTATTGTATAATTTATTATATGAAAGAACCATTAACTATATAGTGTGAAAGAGAAAGTAACGTACTTAAGTTGATTGGTTCGTTTGGGATGATTTCGTTGCGTGGGGGCCTGCGATTAAATGATGAATGCATATGCAATGAGCTCAGCAGTCGAAACGGAACCTGCCAAGAATTTCATCTTTTGTTCTGTATTTTCTTTTAGGGCCATTTGGTATATATATCTATTGTAGGAGAAAATCTGCTGTATCTCGATAATATTGTTGATATGATATCTTTAAATAATCACAATGTGTTACATTATCAAAATTTTTTTATCTCGTTAATCATGTTAGCTCACTTAATAAAAAAATTGATAATGTGACATGCTTTGATTGGTAAAAGATATTACATCAGCGATATCCTTGCATAACGTGAAACATTCTCTAATAAAAATATTCATAATACTTCTGTTTGAATGTTCACTTTTTTTTTCTTTTTTTCTCTTTTTTTATTTTTGGTTTTTTTTTTTTATTTTTAAATTGACTCATTTATTAAGAAAAACCTACTGGGTAAAAAAACTATGTGAGAAAGAAAAAAAGAATGCAGTTAGTATAAAGTTTCCCTCGCTTCAATGAATAACTATATTTTTGAAATAACGGGTGTTTATTTTAGCCGCTTAAAAAGAAAAATTTTAGTATGTAATGATTTCGTGAAAGAATCAGCAAGATAATTAGTAAAAAACTTTGGTATGTAATGTAGTTAGTATATATATAGCTTCCCCTCACTTCAATGAATATCTATATCTTTGAAATATTGAGTGCTTATCTTAACTATTCAAAAAGAAAAATTTTGATATATAATGATTTTGTGAAAGAATCAACAAAATAATTAGTTAAATCATTTTTGTTGAGCATGTATTCACCAATTATCTAGAGCTCATATACAAAAAAAACAATTCTAGTGAGTTCTATTGGGTTCTTCTATAACTTTAGACTTCTTGCAATTGTTTGAAACACCACAAACTTGAATATTTTGTCTCAAAAATCATCACCATACACACCCTTGATTAGCCCCAAACAATGCTATAATTTTCAATTTGTTTTGAGAAGATGACGAACAAGTGTATATTAAGTTGAATGCTAAGAAATTATAAAATTATTATGTAAATAAATACTTACATTTTATGTTAATTTAACAAAAATACACTTTATATTTATTTAAAAGATATTTAATAAATGTATATCTAATTAATTTAAATTTTAAGTGCTTTAAATATAATAATATTATAATATATCTCACTTAAAAATATTCATACATATATGATTAGTACTTATTAACTAAACTTTTTAAAAATAAATAAATAAATAAACAAAATAACTAACTTAATTAGACAAATAACTAACTCATATGTATGTACTCACCCCTAGTAAATGCCTACCTTAGATTTAAAAAAAGCCTTAATGTGTGAGGTTAAAAAAAAGATTACTAAAAGATATGAGGTAAAAAAAAAACTATTATTTTAATTTTTATTTATGTTAAAACCCTTTTGGTCCAAGAGATGCCACCTCATATATGTTATTGTTTTCACTTTCTCCTTTAAATACCCTGTTATCCGTACTCCATTCTACCTTAAACAGCCAAAAAAAACATGGAATTATGGAAACCTGGTTCATCATCCTCGTCACTATCTCCGTCGCTTTTCTCCTCAGAGCGTTCCTCAACCTCCTCTTCCCTCCCAAATCCTCCACCCACCCTCTCCCTCCTGGCCCCTTCTCCATCCCCATCATTGGTCCCCTTCTATGGCTCCGCAAACTTAACTACGAGATGGAACCAATTCTACGCAAACTCCACACGAAGTTCGGCCCAATGATCACCCTCAGGATCGGTTCTCGCCCTGCCATTTTCATTTCTGATCGCTCCCTCGCCCACCAGGCATTGGTCCAGAACGGCGCCATTTTCTCCGACCGGCCCAAACCTCTCCTCACCGGTAAGATTGTCACCAGCAATCAGCATAACATTACTTCTGGCGCCTACGGTCCTACCTGGCGACTTCTACGGCGGAATCTGACTGCCGAAATCCTTCATCCATCGCGTATAAAGTCGTACTCCCACGCCCGCAAATGGGTATTACAAATTCTCTTGGATCTTTTGGAGTCAGAGTCCAAATCCGGAGCACCGACTCCGGTTCTTGTTCATTTTCGGTATGCTATGTTCTGCTTATTGGTACTGATGTGTTTTGGGGACAGGCTTAATCAAGACCAGATCAAACAGATTCAGGATGTTGTACAGGCTGCGCTTGTGGCTTCTGGAAAATTTAATATACTGAATTCTTGGCCCAGTGTAACGAGAATTTTGCTTCGAAAGAAGTGGGATGAATTCCTTAATCTACGTAAAAATCAAGAAGAAGTATTGATCCCTCTGATACGTGCGCGCAAGCAAATCAAAGAAGAAAGACTCAGGAAGAACATAGAGGATAAGTTCAATCAAAAAGACGAGTATGTATTAGCTTATGTCGATACATTGTTAGATCTTCAGCTACCGGATGAGAAGAGGAAGCTTGATGAAGGGGAAATGGTTACTTTAAGCTCGGAATTCCTCAACGCCGGTACTGATACTACCTCCACCGCCTTGGAATGGATTATGGCAAATTTAGTGAAGTACCCACATATTCAAGAGAAGCTATTCAAGGAGATTGAAGGGGTTGTAGGAGATGGAACAGAAGAGGTCAAAGAAGAGGAGTTGCAGAAAATGCCTTACTTGAAAGCTGTGCTCTTAGAAGGATTAAGGCGACACCCACCAGGTCACTTTGTGTTGCCTCACACAGTGACAGAGGATACAGTTCTTGGTGGGTATTTGGTGCCCAAGGACAGTATGATCAATTTCATGGTAGCTGACATGGGGTGGGATCCAAAAGTGTGGGAGGATCCAATGGCATTCAAGCCTGAGAGGTTCCTGAGTAGTGACGACAGAGGTGGGCCGGGGTTCTTTGACATTACGGGGAGTAGGGAGATCAAGATGATGCCATTTGGGGCAGGGAGGAGAATTTGCCCAGCGCTTGGATTAGCTATGCTTCACTTGGAGTATTTTGTGGCAAATTTGATCTGGAAGTTTGAGTGGAAGGCTGTAGAAGGACATGAGATTAGCTTAGAAGAGAAGCAGGAATTCACAATGGTGATGAAGTATCCATTGCAGGCCCACATTTCTCTAAGGAAAAGATAATCTTGTGTTTGGCATGGGAATGTGGGATTGTGTTTTTCAATTTTTTTAGTTTTAACTTTCACTATCTAAAAGTTACAATAAATTTTTATTAATTTAAAGTTATATTGTGTCAGACTTTAAAAGAAAAAAGTTTTATTAATATTTATTTTTTTATTTATAAGATTCAAAATTAAAATTTTATTTAAAAAAAACAAAATTTCTTTTATTTAAATTAACATGTTGTTGATTGTGTTTTTCTTTTTTCAACAACGGAGCGTAGGGAATTTAGGGGGATGGGGGATGGATTTTTGGGCTTTGAAACCGGGATCTACATCTGCATGCCCCTTGTACTCTCCCTCACAAGGGCCACATTTCTTCAGTGTTTTTTGCCAACGGCCAGATTTCTTGGGTTAGATGAGTATTGTGAAAAGGCGATGGTTGCTTTTTCATTCCTAGATTTGTGATTTTATGCACAGAATTATGGGATTTTAATTTCTTGATGATTTTTTTTTTTTTTTTGGAAGTTGTGATCAATAGTTTGATGTTAACTTAATTGTTTAAATGAGATAGTATTTTGGTAAGGAATGAAAAGAGTTGAGGGAAAGAAGGAAGAGAAAAGGGTTTGAGATACATTCAAAAGATAACCAGGGGTTAGAGGAGCCCTTTTACAGTCCTTTTTTTGCTGATTTGTCTTAATGTGAAGAAACCTACCTAATGCTAAGTGTCGGAGGCTCCCCATTTACATGAATAGTATAAGTGGCAAATGCAACAACTTATAAAGTTAGAATATGTAAATATAAGATAAAAGATAATATGACAAACATATTTTATCTTTATTGACATAAAGTGTAAAAAATACTATATATGTGTTATTACCTGTTTTACCTAACATGATATGTGTTCATTATCCTTTTTTTTTTTCCTTGTCTTTTTCTTAGCTTTGGTCATCAATATGGATCATAGTTACAACTAAAGTAGCTAAACTAGCTTCATAGATCTTAGCCCATGGTCTCTCAAGATATGAACTTGAGGGCTCTGCTAAGTATAGCTCTATTAGGTACTTTAGGAAGAGTTTTTCCTCGATTAGACCTTAACGGCACGTTTGGGGCAGAGGATAGGATTTGACAAGATGAAATTTAATGTATAGGATTGGATTAGATCAGATTGGATGAGATTATATTAAATCAAATACAATATTTAGTTGATTATTAGATAAATTAAAGCTCTATGTAGCACTTGAATTTTTGGACCCAGTAACGTCAGATAATATATAAATACAATCCTTCACTTTTAGAATAACGGTTTGAATTTGACCACTTACGTAATTTATTTAAAAAAAAATAAACTAAACTCCATATAAATATTCATATGAATAGATAAAAATAACCCTATTGTAATTTAGTTGTTTAACCTATTATAATATTGTTTTTTTCCAGATTTGAGAATCATATATTAAAAACCAATTGAGTTCAATTTGGAAGAAATTTAACAAGTTAAAGAAATGAAAAAAAAAATGGAAGTGCGATGAACAGATTCTTGTTTGTTTCTTGGGAAAATAGTGCAAATAATGAAAAATCACCAAATATTCAAATTATCTTTATGTAAAATGTGAATTACAACTTCCTTCTCATCCTCATCTACGCAACCCATGAATGCCTCTTTAACAACCAAACAAATCAATTTCATTTTGGATTCAATTGGTGTTTCATTAGTTCGGTACCACCATTTTTTCCGACATAGTTTTGACTTGAAACATCTTACCCCTCCAGATTTGCTCTTTTGATACTTTTCCATTGTCGACTTGCCAAGATTTGTCGATTCCAGGGGCTACTACTTCGCCTTCTTTAGCATGTCTTTCTCCTTTCTAGAATTAGATATGTGAAGGCCATGGCCGGCTTTGTATTTTCTAGCATCGTATCTTTGAACCACATAGACAACATTCTAAAGCAAGAGAGCAAGTCAATGGAGATAATAGAGGAGAAGATGAAGTAGAAGGAAGAGGAAAGAGAAGATGGATTCTGGTCATCGACGAGGTAGATGATTTTTAGCCGTTGACGGAGAGGATGAGTTCTGGCACCAACACCGATGTGCCTAACCAATTTATGGCATCGGACTAGATTGAAAAAGGGAGAGGAGGGGTAAAATATGTAAAATACAATCTTATCCCACCTAATCCCATGGGGGAGGTGGGATACATTTTATTAAGTTTAGGTGAGACAGGATGAAACGTGGGATAGAGTCCATCCCATTCTTTGGGCTCCCTAGACTTGGGACACAGTTGGATAACATAAAAATCATATCCCATCCCACTGTGAATCCTGACCACCAAACGTGTTGTAAGATTCATTCTTACTTAGGTTATCTATTCCATAAGACCATGTGAACTGGTAAGAGGCTTTCGTGGGTAGGGAAGTATCACCTCTTTTACATTTTCTTCCATTCTTTTGATTATAAGCAAAAACACAAAATCTTTAATTATGTGGAGTCTAATTAACTTAAATAAATAAAAAAAACTATACTTTTTCGTCCCATTTAAAAATATTTCGTATATACTTTTGCGTGAAATCTGGGTGTCATATCAGCTTAAAAGTTAACAGAAGCGCTAGAAAGGTGTCAAAAGTAAATGTTTAAGGACGATTCCAATACTTTTTAAAGGTTAAGGACCATTTTAGTAAAAATTTCAAAACTCAAGAACCATTTAGGTATTTTTCGGTACTTAGATGGAGCATCGCTATTACTCAATTTCTTTTTCTCATCGTAATGATCAAATTCTTTACGGCCAAGAAAGAAAATCAGAACAAAATTCTATGAAAATTTGGTAAAAGAAAACAGAATCTGCAGAACAAAAATGGAGGAAGCTAAGGCAGTTACTCCCCAACAACAACAACAACAACAACAATTCCTCCAACAACAACAGCAGCAGCAGCAGCAACAGCAGTTCCTTCTTCTACAGCAACTCCAGAAGCAAGCTCAACAGCAACATCAGCAGCAGCAACAGGCAGCGATTTCTCGGTTTCCCTCAAACATCGATGCGCACCTACGAACTCCTGGCGTCCTCCAGCATCGCCCCATTAACATTCAGCAAAACCCTAACCCCACCCCCAATCCTAATTTGCAGCAGCAGAACCCTAATTTCCAGCAGGGACAACCGACGCAGCATCCCCAACAACAGGCACCTCAGCAACAGCAGCAACAGAAGCCCGTTCGACCCTTGAACCAGGCGGAGCTCCAGATGGCGTATCAGGACGCTTGGCGGGTCTGCCACCCAGATTTCAAGCGGCCATTCTCGTCTCTTGAAGACGCTTGCGAAAGGTAATACAATTACTCAAAAGTTTTTGTTTGACTGTTAAGAAAAATGGGAAAACCTGATCTTTCTTGGCTATAATATGATGGGTTTTACCTGTTTAGTTGGGTTTTGCTTGTATATATGGCTTTTGTGATTTAAATTTTTGAAATTCCATTTCTGATTGGAGATTTCATGTATTGCTTTTGTTCTCTGGATGTATATATGTGCTTTAAGGGAAGATGAGGATTCTTGGGTGTATTGTATTTCTCTGTTTGGTGTTGCTTACTGCTACAATGTATGAAAAGAGGGGGACAAAAATTAACTTTGTTTGTGCAATATGAAAGCATGCTTTAGGTTTCTCTACGGCAATGGAATAATAGAACTGTTTTCTCTCATTTCAGATTGCAAGAAGACTGTTTTTTTCTTTTTTTAAAAAAAAGGGAAATAGGAAGGTTGTTGTACTTGATTGTGTTTAGCTTTTGGCTTGGCATGGTCTGACTGTGAATGAGATCCTCACTTAGATGGGAATGTAATGCATGATTTATTTTAATATTAGTTTCTAATCATGTTAAGCCTGTGCTTTTTTTTATTCTTAAAATTCAAAAGATTTTCATTGAAGGGTACGGCTATATTGCATTTCTATTCAGAAATACTAGGGAACGTTATTTGCATAAAGACAAAACTGACATTGAAAATGTTATACGCCACATGGCTTTTTGGTTGTATGAATCGTGGATTTCATTTGTCACATAATCAAATTCCTTTTCAAATGCATTTGGCAGAGAAAGAGTTGAGAAAATAGCTTTTCTGTTGTTTTCCTAAATAGGAGATAAAATCAAATAGAAACTTATTGGGGATTTTGGGTTCAGAATTATACACCTCTATATGGCCTAAACCTTTATGGCTACTTGGTTTGAATGTTGTATAGCCTTGTGATATCTTCATGTTCACTAATTCATATGGTAGCCATTCATTATGCATAAAAACTGCCACAAATTGAGAATTAGCTTGCCCAGAAGAAAAGTTTAAAAATAAAGAAATAAAATGCACTGGGGTCAGGATTTATCTTAAAGTTTGGTTGGTATGAAAGTTTACTTCCTGGTAGAGTGGGTTTAGAATTAAATTTCTGCTGGCAAGGAGCTAAAATCTGTGTTGATGCAAAAGAAAATAGTTACGTAAATAAGAAATATATAGACTAACTAGGAGGTTCATTATTAGTTAAGTGCAATTTATGTTTTGTACCTTACCAAAACTATTATACATGTTTCTGTGTCTTTGCTAGACATTTTTTACCTTGTTAAGGTTTTCTAATTACATGTTTGTACAATACGGCATGTTCAGTTTTGAGCTTCTGTACCTTTAATAATCTCCCATGTATGCATGGTAAACCTTTTGCCTTACATAGTTTGCTACCTTCACCCTCTCTCTCATGATGCCAACTCTTTTCACTGAAGGAAATGGTATGTGTTGGCAAATCTTTTTGATCACATGTCACCATATAAGTGACAGTGCATATACAGCTTTTCTTCTCAAGTTTGAACACATTGTGTGGCTAACAACTTGAGTTATGTCAATTTCAGGTCTGGAGTCACTTCCCTTATTCTGTTTCTATAAATAATTGGTCTAGATGAGCCTGGGTAATTGCATTGGCCCAACTACCATATAAAAACAGGGCTTCTTCCTCTGTTCCACAGGTTCGAACCCATCGTCCCCCTCACCAGCCCCTCCCCCACATGAATCCCAGACCAATATGTTTGTCCCATGGAAAAAATAAATAATCATTCCAGAGGAGAACTGGAACAATAAGAAATGTCAGTGATGTTAAGATACCTATGGCTATTCATTATTGAATTAGGATATACCTTGAAAATTTATATGGTTGTAAATTAGGTTTTTCTTTTATTTATGGTTAAATTCACTCTTCTAGATGACTGAAAATTGTTTAGATTGGCATGGAAAATGTTAAAATTTGTCCTTGCAGGTTTTCCATGGAGTGAAAAAGGCTGCACTTAAACTGGTATACATGATGTTTGTGATATAGGCACTTGAAATTGAGGTGGCAGACTTAGTTGACCACCTGCAGTTCCTCCCAATTTTAGGTTATATCTCATTAGTTGCTACTTTTAGGGAAGAAATGCCTGCTCAATTATTGCTTTCGTGCTTTTTGTAAGAAAAATTGTTTGGAATTTCGATTGTTTCCATTGTTTGTTGTTTCTTTTGGTGATGGATCAATAAGCCTTTTTTCCTCACTATGAATTCTTGTCTTGGCATAGGCAAATATTTCTCTGATCTCAGTAGGGATTGTGATGTGATGACAATATTGATAATGTACTTGATCATTATGATTGCTCTACACTCTTTCAGTGTACACATTCAGGTGCTAGTTTGGTGAAAGTTACGTGGAAGTTGTTTGTGTATGAGAAATGATATAATCCAAATAAACATGCATCATCCACTCACATATTCTCCTAGTGTGGCCCTTTCAGCTTAGTTTAGTAAGCATCCTTAATTTTTTCCCCTATCCCAAAGTCAGCTTTAGATATGGCAATAACATTTGTCCTTTTCTCTCTACATCTATATGCTTTTTTTAACGGTTAACCATTATTCAAGCTCCTTGTGGTTCAATTGAATTCTTTTGATAATTTATTAATTGTTGAACATGAGCAACTTTCTAATTTCTAAATGACTTGGAATCATTTTGTTTAATAGATGATAGAAGAAAATTGATCTTTTATGCTTGAATGTTATGTCGGCATGTTCGATTGTGTTGGATTAGTATAGTTGCTTTTCATATGACTTGTAATCACATGGTTCAATGGATGATAGAAGTAAATTGATCTTTTATATGTGAATGATATTATGTTGGCATCTTGGATCATCTTGGATGAACATGCTTGTTCTAAACTTTTTTCTCCGAAAACAATTTGCAGGCTGCTACCTTATCATGTTGTAGCAGACTATGAAGCAGAGGAAGATGATAGAATCCTTGATTCTGACACAACAGGCCAGATGCAATCTCGCTCACAGCAGTGGGATCACAACATTGCTGCCAAAGTTGCAGAGTTTACTGCAACATTTGAGAAACAGGCCCTTGCCTTCAATATTATCTCTCGGAAGCGAGCCATGGGAGAATTCCGATCTGAAGAAAGACTGATGATTGAGCAGGCTCTTCTCCAGGAAGAAAAGAGAGCCATACTTGAGTTGAGGACAGAAATAGAGTCTAGGGAGAAGGCTGGTCGGGAGGCCCATGAGGCTAAGTTGCGAATGGCAGCAATGGCTCAGGCAGAGCAAGCCCGAGCTGAATCACAGATGGCTCGGGGGGCAATAAGGGCAAATGCTCTTGGGTCTCATGGAAACAATATTGCTATTGGCCATGACATGGGGGAGCAGCAGCAGGGTGTTAATCCAGATGAGATGGTAAATGGGTGGGGAAACAATGTTCAGAGAGATGAGAAGGAACCTTCTGAAGATTTCTTGAATGATGAAGAGAATGAAAATGGAGACACAGGAATGCAGAACGAATGGCGTGAAGTTGGGGAATTCGATTTGAACAGTAGATGAAGTAAAGAATCCAAATGGCTTGGTCACCATTGCAGTGGTCTTTGCTTTCTTCTCATCTGAGATGTCCTCCGTATTTTGGTTGTAGTTAGCAGTATGTTCAAGATTTGAAATTTCTCTGCATATTGCAGCACTGGATGTAGGATTTGAGGCAAATAACATTTTCGAGTCACAATGAAGGCAGCTTTTTCGTTACAGTGCTCAAACTGATACTAATTCCACAGTAGATTTGTATCATAGGAGGCATTTACATTAATTACCCCTTTATATTCAAGCCCAGCTTGCACCTAACACGAATCCATTATATTTCCTCAGGAGGTTTTGGATTTTACATTTTCATATGCATGGATGCACCAAGTTTATCAATGCCGTTTTGGTCCACAATGGTTAAGAAACTGGTTGAGATGAATGAAATTCTCTCAGCTAAGTAGAATGTCGGCAACTAGTATTTCGGGCGAGCAACAACCATTTCCATCCCTGCTGCTACTGGTGATAATTTCATTTACAATCTCATTCAGTGTACAAGAAAAGGGAGGGATATCAAGACAACCTTGTTATAAACCCAATCCCTGCTTCGGAATACTAGTACGAGATATAAATTCTACCCAGCCTTCTGTTCTCTATTAAGTAGCCGTTTTAACCAACCTAAGATGGCTGGACACCATTATTTTATTCCAATGTTGATTAAAAAAAAAAATTGAAATTATACATGATAACAGTATTTTTACAGTTAGCTGAAGGCATCAAATCAAATCGCTAAGTTGAATTTATTAATAAGTAAATATTTTAAGTTAGGTTCATAATTTAAGTTTTGACATAACATTTAAAAAAATTAATTTTTTATTATGAAGATGATGAGTAGGACCAAAAATTAGACCAAAATTGAGGACAAAATGTTGACACAAACATCCTAGACATAACAAGGAGCAAGATATTTTATCAAGAGCTTAACTTATGATATTTTATTGTATAACAAGAGAGTAATACCATCAACTATATAATTTGAGAGACAAAGTTGTTTGTACTTTTAGTCACATGTTTAGGGTTAATATCTTTTTTTTTTTTTTGGATAAAATTTAGTGTTAATATCTAATTATTATAAGTTAACCCTAATTATAAGGGAATAAGTAGACAAGGGAGTAATTTAGATAAGAGCAATATCTATTCTGCAAATTATTGTGGGTGAAGAATAATTAGGAGCAATAATAAAAGAGTGTGAATGAAGAATACAAAGGTATATAGAAGATTATTAAGTTAATTAGCTGCATGATTGAAATATATCATTATAAAAATTTAATTAGAGTAGAAGAAGAAGAATTGGAAACTCTATTATGGTACAAAAAGTAACTTCAACGTTTATAAATATAAATTATTCACTTGAAAAATAATTAAGTTCCCAGAAGAAATCAGACATTGTGAATTGAGAATACAAAAGAATATGGTATGTAGAGAAGTGATAACTGAGTTAGCTGGATTAAGCCTGCACCAAGTTAATTATCAAAGCCAATATATTTAGGCATGTTAGGACATGATTGTTAAAAAATAAAATTTTAAGGGTATTATTCTATTCTATGAAAACAGTAAAAGGTAATTAATAAATAATTTTTGTCCATGTCTTGTGCACAACTTGTAATCAAAAGCAATTGGGCATCTAACAACGGCTAATCTTGTTATGGATATCAAATCTCTGATGAAGGATTTCCTGACATGCTCATTAGCCATGCTTTGCCAAAGGAAATGCGGCTGTTGATTTTGTGGCCTCACTGGCTCACGGTTCTCCTATTTGAACCACTTAATGGGATAAATTTCTGTAGAGGAAACAGGTGTTTTTAAAAGACAGATAAAATCAACTACGAAGCAATAAAATACTGCCAACTAACTATGAACTTCTCGCACTGGTTAGTACACCTTTAGAATTTGCTTTAATGAATAAAATGTATTTATTCCATAGGAAAGGTGCCAGCATGATGCCCACATTGGGGTTGATACTTCAAGATCGAGTACATTAGGATCAAAAAGTCTAATAATGCAAACTCCATCACATTCCTTCCCAATATAATGTCTCAATTTTCCTTTTCAAACAACCTCCATCTCAAAATGCAGAAACATGCCATAACAAATACTAAGCAGTTTTCTTTGGCCAATAAAATATTAAGCATTGTGCAAGCTGGATTTAGAGTAATTAATACTAAAAACAGCCTCCTATGATTAATATTAAATCTTCTCCATCCGGAAGAAAATTAAAACTGAGAGGAGAACAAGGTCCTTCCATGTTAAACCAGATTAGGAAAAGACTAAAAAACAACAAAAACACATGGAACAAAGGCGTGAACTAAAAAACAGTTGAAGAAACAAGAGACACAATCCCCTCGTTTAGTAACAAAAGATATTGCATAATAAGCCAGGGATCAGAATCCCAATCAGGCTGCTGAACAAATGATGATAAGAAGATGCACACAGAATTAAATATATGTCTGCAAATACCTATTTTGATTACTGCTGGAGAGATACTTGATACTTCACTAAAGCAGAAGTAGATCTAGAATATGAAAAATAAATAAAGAATAGAGCATAAGCAGAAACACAGTACTCGTAAACCCTGCAAGTAGGGTATAAAGAAAGACATGCATACTCTGACTAATTTGAAATGGTCTTCTTCTTTTCTGCCATGTACTCCTCCATCTCTTTCAGCCAAAGATCTGCAAACTCACAGTTCTTCCAAGCTTCAAACCATGGCCCTCCACGGGTATAATGTATTGCTTTTGGTTGAGTTGTTGGGTCATTCTCATCAACCTTGTTGTGGCCCTCAAGGAAGTTCCAGGCAAATGGGATAGACCCAATTTCATCATCGTCAAGCCACTGAAACCTATGAAGAAAAGCACCAGTTTGAGTGTTGACAACCTCTGGCAATAACCCTTTGTTCTTTGGATGGCCACAGTTATAAAGCACCATGGAAGACCAATTCTTCCTTGGATACACAGTTTGCACAGCTCCATCCATTTTTGTTGTCTCCTTGGGAGTGTAATCATGATGAACACACATTATTGCATACTTTTCATCAATTAAGTCCCTCAGCTCCTTGATGTCAGCCAAATAAAGGAAGTCACAGTCAACAAACATAGCCCAACCTTCATAATTGGCCAAGTATGGTGTTAAGAATCGAGAAAAGGAAAACTCAGTACTCTCCAGTTGGCCTCTTTCACGCCAGTAAAGGCCCTTCTTCCTGAGATCAGATTGAACAATGGGTATGATCTCAACAGGTATTGAAGACCGCTTCAAGATGGAATGGCGACAGACCTCGTATGCAAGGTCTTCACGTGGATCATAACCTACAAAGATCTTGAAGGGCTTGTTTATATCTCCATTGCTAGTCAGCAAGTGACCGTTGTTGTAAGCTAAATCCATTCTAGCAATAAATTCTTGTAGAACAGGATCTGCAAATTTGAAGTCATTTTAGTTAAAAAATAATAATAACAACAACAAATCCACAGATCTGGAATCCGAGCAAAGAGATTTGAACATAAAAAAGATTCTGCATTAATCGTTTATTTGTGAAATCTATCACCGCAAGATGGTTTCCAACTAAATTTCCCAGTATAGAGCCAAGAATAAGTCCAGAAATGTTGTAATTTCAGCCAATCAATGCAAAAACTTAGGTTCAAAATTCAATTCTTTCGCCTTCTTTTCTTGCAAATTCCATTAAAGGGGTTATGGAATTCATAGTACAGAAATCAATAATGCAAGTTTTTCGCAGTTGAGCGGAATCTATCATGCAGAATCGAAGTCATCATATCTTAGTAAATCTTCAAAAAATGGCTTATTATTACGCAGAACAGAAAAAGAAAATTAATTAGAACAAAGAATTGCGTCTAATATGAAATGAACATTAACAAAACTGCAAATCAAAAAGATCAACAAAACAGCATTATCTTCTTCAACCCCAAAACGAGAAAGAACCCATGAAATTAAAAACTTGAAAGAGATGGGAGAAAAGTACCTGGAATTCCGAAAGGATGGATCTTGATGCTGAAGAATAAGAATAAGAATGAAGGCTCGAAGAAGAAAAAAAAAAAATTAGGAATGCTTTCACTCCTGGTTGGACTTTCTCAGGAAAATGATGGAAAATTGTAGATTGGATTCAAATGAGTTCAACCCAAGAGCTGTAATGTCCAATATATCGGAGGGGGGTGAGAGAGGAGGAATGATAACTGAATGCAAAGGGGCGAGAATTAAGCTGGCTTTATACAATCTGAGGAGACACGGATTAACAGCAAAACGATGGGTCCTTTTCCAAAACGTGTCGGTGGGTTGGATTATTCCACAGAAACATCAACACTAATTACGGCAAATGTACGGGTTACGGGTTTCGGTGAGTTGGCTTGGGTCACCTCATATCAGGGGTTTACCGGGTAGGGTCATATTGGTGGTTTAGGTTGCGTTTGGTCTTTGTGGTTGAGATGCTTTCTCATCATCACAGATACAGTGTCTTTTAGTTGACATGTTGTCCATGACTCCATGGATTCTCAAAACGTCGTCTATCAAGTTGTTTATTATGTGGATCTTAGATTGGAGCCCATATAATTAATGGTTTGCTGAAATTTTTAATATGTTTAAGATTTTTTTATTTTTCATTTTGCCTTTAATTGTTATTTTGAAGTTAAACTTTTTAAGACATGTAAAATTTGATAAAAAAGTTATTGGGTCACTTGTTAGATATTATTATTAATAAATTGAGGTTATATTTTTTAAAACTTATGAAATCTGTTTTAAAGAGTTTGATAATTTAACGGTGGGTTTCAACATAATCTTTTTAACTAATATCAAACTTATCACACATTTAATTAGTACCAAAGTCCTACTTCTAAACACATGTGAGTCATGTCTATCATATCATAGATGAATATAACATGGATTCCACTTGATATGGGTCGGGTCTTTGTGGGGCTATAGGCCTGCTTGTGAACATGTTGGTTTTAAATAAGACGTGAGAAATGTTGATATTAATTTTTAAGGTTAAATACTTTTTTTTGGTATCTTTACTATTGAAAAAAACTCTTTTTTGATTTTTGTATTGAAAAAATTTATTTTTTAATCCCTAAAAATTAAAATTTGACCTTTTTTTGATCCCTCCGTTAAATTTTTTGAAGTGACCATTAATTAATGAAATTGTGTAATGTGAAAAATCCACTTTGTAAGAAAAAAATAATGTTGACATATTTTTGAATCCACGTCAGCATCTTCACTCTTTTGGCTTTTTTTTTTTTTTTTTTTTTTTGCTAGGTTCATCATGAACCCAAGTGTGTGCACGGTGGGTTCACTAGGCGCACAACTAACCCAATGCGTGCCGGGGTGGGTTCACAACGAACCCAACGCGCATGTGCACCTTGGTTCACGATGAACCCAGATTGCGCTTGGGTGAGTGCGTGACAAACCCAATGCGCGCTTGGGTGGGTTCGTCGTGAAGCCAAGTGCACACATGCATTGGGTTCATTGCGAATCCACCCAGGCATGCGAACCCAAGTGCACATGCGCTGGGCTCATTGCGAACTTAGGTGCGCACCTGAGTGGATTTGCAACAAACCCAACAAAAGTTAAAAAAAAGAAAAAGAAAAAGAAAAAAAGCTAGAAGGGTGAAGATGCTGATGTAGACTCAAAAACATGTTCACATCTTTTTTTTTTACAAAGTGGATTTTTCATATCACATAATTTCGTTAATTAACTATTATCTGTTAAAAATTTTAACGGAGGAACAAAAAATGAATTAGATTTCAATCTTTAGGTACCAAAGAAAGGATTTTTTCAATACAAGGATAAAAAAATGAGCTTTTTTCAATAGTAAAGGGACCAAAAAAGATATTTAACCAATTTTTTATGATCAACAAAATCACATGTAAAAGTAGAAAGTTTGAAAAGCAAGTTTTTGAAATCTACAATTTAAATTTAAAGTGTTTATATTTACACTTAGAAACAAATTTTTAAAAAGAGCTACATTTTCCTTCTCAAAGATATTTGATTTCATCTTTAATGTATTTTCTTATACTAGGTTTCTATGTTTGAATATCACACCCAATAGGAATTTCAAATTCTGCAAGATTTAAAGTTTTATAGTTATATTAGAATTTTCTTACATGAAGACTTTCTAAATCAAATATTTAAATCTGTCATAAAATTTCAGAATTTAATTTTAGGTTCCAAAACATTGTTGCTTTCTAACCCTTCTCATGAGTGTAGGAAAGTCAAGAAGTTCCAAATTAAAACATATTAGCAAGTTTTAGAATTTTCAATTGAATTTTGAAATTAAATGAAATCAAGAACTTTCTATTCTAAGCTACAATGGTTAGTTTGACTTGGATTTGTGTGTGAGAGATTAAAAAGATATTTTGGAGAAGGTAGTAGTAACTGAGCAAAGAAAGCCCTAAGTATAGATTAGTGAAAAAGCTCTCAATCTTTTAGCTTTTGATTTCATGCCTATCGTTGTTTACCCAATTCCCTTAGTAATATGTTTTGTTAATCTCTCTTTCATTACGTGTGTAAGAGAATATTTGTGGAGAAAACCTTGTTAGATCTAAAAAACCTTTCTAGTGGTTAGAATTGAGTTTTGAGAGAGATTGTAACAAGGAGATAAGTTATTGAAGGTGAATAGTGCCAATAAAGTTATTGTACATGGTGCCTTTATTGTCGCAAGTTGGAGAAAAATGTTGGAATCTAAACACAACTCTCAAGTGGGCAACTTGAGGAGTGGATTAGGCACAAATTATAATTGAACAATCATAAATCATCGTGTTTGATTTTTCTCTTTCCTACTCTTTTAAGATTATGCAATTTAGCTTTCTTGCTCGTGCTAGCATTTTCATATCCATCACTTTAAACACAAAAATTGCATATGTTTTTAAGAACCCAAATACCCAATTCATCCCCTATTGGCTTGTCATCCTTTAAGCTAATAGGAAAGATTATAATGTCTTAAATAATCTCACATTAGGAAGAAAATGTGAATTTATCTGATATATAGATGACTAGCTATTACTAACACCTTTAGTTAGAGCTTTTAAGGGTCTCAATGAAACTTAACTTGATGAGTTGTTAAGTTAGTGATGGACTTTAATCCAAATTGTTTTAGTTAATCTATAGTTGATTTTTTGTCAAATAGTTGGTTAGGACGTTTAGGGTGTTTAAAAATATATTTCTATAAGCTAATTTTAAACAAAATTTCAACTATGAGTTATGTGGTAATGTTGTCTCTAAAAACTCTCCTTTCGACCGCATGGCAGGCAAGATTATGAAGATGTGTCACTCACTTGGCTTGTAGTGAGAAAAAGGGATTCCCAATCACTTTGGTTACTTCCTAGTATGGGATTTGGTTGCTAGTCAATGGAAAAGTGTCACTTAATTAAATAATGAGTTGTGTTGTGGTCAAATAATTGTCACAACCACAAGGTGTATTCTTGCATTAAATTCTATAAACAATTGCCCTAAAAGAATATCATGGACTTTCCACAATTATGGTCAAAATGTTAGATTGTTGATCAAAATTGTAATATCTCGAATTTCACATTAAATTGAAATTATAAGTGTAATTAGTATATAATTGTAAAAACTAATTATTACTTATAATTTAAATTTAAATTTAAAATTTTAAAAGTGATGGGGCCTTGATTTAAAGAATTGTTAAGTTAGTGATGAATTTCAACTCAAGTTATTTCAATTAATATCAGAATATTCATCTCTTTGCAAGTATGAACTCACACCCACAGTGATAATGGGAATATCATATTATTTTAATATTTATTTTAATTAATATTTTATATATTTTTAAAACAATAAAAAATTAAAAAAAAATAAAAATTAAAGCAAAAAAAAAAAAACATTATGAAATTAAGCCAAAACGAACACAAAACTGTGTGCAAAAAGCTGCCGCTCAATCCACATAATTGTTGTTGGCAAAAAAAATAAAAAAATTCAAACATTGTTCACAGAAATAAAAAAATCCTATATAATTGTCCGTTACCGAAGAAAAGAATCCAATACTTGTGCTCGTGGATTTGGTGCCACGAAATTTCTTTCTCTTCCATTCTTTCAAGTACAACTGTATACCGTGGGCCGGGGCCGTGGCCGTGATTTTTCTTCACCTGTCTCCATTCACTCGCATTTTCATCATCTTCATAATACTCGCTGGTCTATTGGAGATAGCTGGGCTCAGGTTTGTAAATGTGTGGTGTTAAAAGCGAGTGTCGCAAATTTTAAATGCTCCAGCGCGTTGAAACTTATGCGCACAAGCGGACACGCGTCGGGACCATTGCTAAGCGAGCTGGTACGTGCTCATCAGGTGTTTCACACGATTCGGGAATTTGAGATGCCCGTACCCCAAACGGTAGTTGTTGCCGGGTCGGGTTCGGGAATTGCCCGCCCATTAAACATGAGGGCATGGGAATGGAGCTTTTGGATAAAGGAAATCAATATGAATTACACCATTAATATAATCTTTATGTCCATGAATTATATACAATCTAATTCAATTCTTTTTTCTTAAAAATTATTAACCGTATATATGTGATTTTTTATTTAATATTTACTCTTTATATCGTCGAAATTATATATTTTTTAGAATTTGTTAATCATAGGAGAATATTTCAATTGTAAATTTTAGCAGATATAGCTTATTTTTAGGAACCTCAATTAGAAAGTTTAATAGACATGAAAAATTCAACATCATTAGTAAATATAAGAAAATTTTATTCCAGATATTTAAATAATTTTATAAAAAATTCTTCCTTTACATGATTGTATATATCAAATTACTTTAAAAATTAATAGGCATAATTTATAAAAATAAAATATTATATCTAATAATTAATTTGGCAAAATAAAAACTAATTTAAAATACATTATAATTTACATTAATATAAGTTGATCCTGTCTCATTTGAATGGTATGCTTCAACGACTCCAATAAAAGACAATGATCAGCACAAATTTGAATCAAAAGCAGCAATATTTTCCTGTAGAATTCTTGCTACATATAACATAGCATTAACATGTCTCAAACTAAATGACATTAGTCACAACTGTCTTTAAAACAGTAACTAATTTTTTTTTTCCCCTTTTGCAGGTTTTGGGTCGTTCTTCCGTCCCATTGATCAAAGGCTCAAGCACCGTAGTAGCTGATCATTCATAACTTTCTGCACATACAGCATTCTTCTATCACCTCTT